GGGTTAGTTAGCATGAGAGTGGGTTAATGATCATGAGAGCGGGTTAATGATCATGGAAGTGGGTTAGTTAGCATGGGAGTGGGTTAGTTAGCATGGGAGTGGGTTAGTGATCATGAGAGTGGGTTAGTGATCATGGGTGCGGGTTAGTGATCATGGGAGTGGGTTAGTGATCATGAGAGTGGGTTAGTGATCATGGGAGTGGGTTAGTGATCATGCGAGTGGGTTAGTGATCATGGGAGTGGGTTAGTGATCATGAGAGCGGGTTGGTGATCATGGGAGTGGGTTAGTTATCCTGGAAGTGGGTTAGTTAGCATGAGAGTGGGTTAATGATCATGAGAGTGGGTTAATTAGCATGGGAGTGGGTTAGTTAGCATGAGAGTGGGTTAGTTAGCATGAGAGTGGATTAGTGATCATGGGTGCAGGTTAGTGATCATGGGAGTGGGTTAGTGATCATGGGAGTGGGTTAGTGATTATGTGAGTGGGTTAGTGATCATGGGAGTGGGTTAGTGATCATGGGAGTGGGTTAGTTATCATGTGGGTTAGTTATCATGGGAGCGGGTTAGTGATCATGAGAGCAGGTTAGTGATCATGGGAGTGGGTTAATGATCATGGGAGTGGGTTAGTTATCCTGGAAGTGGGTTAGTTAGCATGAGAGTGGGTTAATGATCATGAGAGCGGGTTAATGATCATGGAAGTGGGTTAGTTAGCATGGGAGTGGGTTAGTTAGCATGGGAGTGGGTTAGTGATCATGAGAGTGGGTTAGTGATCATGGGTGCGGGTTAGTGATCATGGGAGTGGGTTAGTGATCATGGGAGTGGGTTAGTGATCATGTGAGTGGGTTAGTGATCATGGGAGTGGGTTAGTGATCATCATGGGAGTGGGTTAGTCATCATGCGAGTGGGTTAATAATCATGGGAGTGGGTTAGTTATCATGAGAGTGGGTTAGTGATCATGGGAGTGGATTAATGATCATGGGAGTGGGTTAGTTATGATAAGAGTGGGTTAGTGATCATGGGAGTGGGTTAGTTATCATGGGTGTGGGTTCGTGATCATGGGTGTGGGTTGGTTATCATGGGAGTGGGTTAGTTATCATGGGAGTGGGTTAGTTATCATGGGAGTGGGTTAGTTATCATGAGGGTGGGTTAATTTTCATGGGAATGAACTCCCAATGAAAGGATGAGTTTGATCTCCTTCCCTCCTCTCCGTCTCTTGCCCTCCTACCTTTCTCCATGGGATGACACAGCAAGAAGGCCCTCATTAGATGGGGGCACCATGGCCTTGGACTTCCCAGCCTCAAGAGTTGTAAGAAATAAATCTCCATTATTTATAAATTACCCAGTCTCAGGTATTCTGTTATGGCAGCACAGCATGGACTAAGCCGTGGGAGATAACTTACTCCAGTTTAAGAGTTCCCTGGAGCATGCACTGTGCAGTGGGCGTGCGGCCGTCATGGCGCATGTGATGTTTGTTCAGTGTAAGCAGCATGTTTTGGTTAGGGAGCTGCTGTGCGCTGTCTTCTCAGCTTGGGGCTAATCGTAGTTGGAATTTGAGGCTTTCTTTCTGTCTGCTCACCTTTAACTTTTATTTCACTGCTTGGTTTTGGGGTCCCAGGAAGCAGCCTGAATAATTTGTATATGTGCTGCCTTTGGCAGCACAACAACCCAAATAATTTGGACTCCAGGAAGTCCCTAACAATTCTTATTGGTGTTTTTGCTATTGTTATAAGCAGAGCCCGGCAATTGAGTGAACAACAATGGCCTAAACCAAGCCCTAGCTTGGGTCTCAAAGTTCAGGGCACGTGTCCAGCAAAGCAGGCTGCGTTGAGGGTTGCTGTGACGCCCCCAAGGGTCTGGTGGTAGCTGAGGAGAAGTTGTGGAGCACATAGTGTTCTATCTTGCAGAAACCCAAAGAACCAGAGAGGCCCCAGCTCCCAGAGACCCCTGCCTCTGCTCTGCCTGACTTCCTTGCCTCTTTGCCTGGGCCTGAGCTTCCTTCCCCAGCCCCTCCCTTGCATGGGATCTGCTCCCACTTCCTCCAGAAGCCCTCCCTACCTCTGGGTGGGGTCTGGCCTCTGATCTCTTCTGTATTATTGTTGACCCCAGCTCCTTTGCCCAGGCCCTGTGACTTGCCATAACCTGCCTCCTCCTGTTCCTCTCATTATTACCTGCCTGCCGGCCCTTCTGCACCACTTCTCTGCCCCACTATTCCCGCTGGCTGCACACTCAGCCCGCTTGCACCAGCACTTCCCGGAGCTCTCAGCCAGGATCTCCTGGGCCTGGCCTGACCTCTGACTCAGCCTCTGGGGCGGGCCCAGTACTGGCTCCCTTGACCCAGCTCATTCCCCACCGATGTTCCCTGAGTCCCAGGGCCCTGTTTCTGGTTCTTACCTCCAAGCCACACCCCACCTTTGTGCTGAACTAGAAACAGTGAAGATTCCCAGAATCTCGGACAGCTCTGCCCCGCTTGCCCTGGAGAACTGAAGGCGGAGGAGTGGGACCGCCTTGTTTTCCACGCTGAGCCTTCCCTCTCATCATGGAGCTCTCAGAATTTTCTGTACTCTGAGAGTCCCACAGGACTGACTCTGGACAGCAATGTCGGAGTGTGGGAGTTCTGCCTGCAAGAAGCTCTGCAGAGAGATAATGAACCAAACTCCGGTTTGAATAATAAAATAACACTTAGCGAGAGTAAACCAACTGCTGCCGAAATGCCAGCGAATATGTACACATGCAAGTTTAGCACAAATGCTGAAAAATACCCTCTTCTCCCAATTCGAGATGGCATGTGCCCTGAATGGGACACTGAACCCAGTCCCTCTTTTCAGCCCCTCGCCACCCTGCTGGAGCCCCTGGGGAAGGAAAGTGTTTTTCTTCCCAAGTTCCTGTCCTGTGACCTGCTCACTCTGTTTCCCAGCTTGGGCCTCTCAGCATTCAGCAGATACGGTTGTGCAGGACCTCAGAGGGGAAGCTCAGGAGCCAGCCAGGAGCTCCAGGACCTGCTCCAGAAGGTTTTGCCTGGGCCCTCCTGCTCCCACCGGTGTCTCTGCTTTGCTGAAGCACTGAGGGGCAGGCTGCTGCTGCTTGGACTCCGCCGCTGTGCTCAGTGCTTGGAAATGAGGGAAGACCCTGCTCTCAATGAGGAAAGCAGAGGTCCATTGTTTGGAGCTTGCACAGGAGCCGGCCGCCATCGCTTGCCTCAAAGGCAGGCAGGGGAGTGGGAAAGCTTCAAGGTGGAGATGGGGAGGCTCCGGGTGAGCCCCCACAGAGGCTGTTGGCCTGGGGAGCTGGAGGCAGCTGACCAGAAGCAGGCGTCCTGTGACAGGATTGGGGAGGGGGCATGTTTAGAGTTGGAATATGAATTGGAAGTGGGGACAAAAATGAGGGAAGTCGTCAGTTGCTAATCAAGGCCTGGCCACCCGGGGCTGGCTGTGACAGGGGTTATTGTTTGGTGTCCTGGGCTGTTCGAGGGATGGTGATCTGACGTCTGCAAGTCTGACTCATGGCAACAGGCTGGCCCCTGGGCGGGGTCTGTAGGGAAGGGGCGGTCTCCTGGGCTGGGTCTGTAGGGAAGGGGTGGTATAGGGAAGGGGTGGTTTCCTGGGCTGGGTCTATAGGGAAGGGGTGGTTTCCTGGGCTGGTGCTGCAGGTCATGGGTCAGAGCTGTCTTTCCACGTATGGTTTGCCCACTGTCTGTTTGTATATTCAGCCTCCAGTTCCTGAATCCCTGAGCCTGAGTTTTACCCACTAGTGGAGATGGCAGAGGATGTGAGCGCTCTTCAGACCCCAATACCTGCACATCTGACTCCCTAGGCTGTCCCTGACTGAGAGCCCAGCCCGAGAATTCCACGCTCAGACGTGGGAGCTGTGCACAGAGTAGATGCCTCGACTTCACCCTCTCTCCTGCAAAGCCTGGCAAATCCCACACTATGGTGGCCCAAGAACGCAGCAGATGCATCCTTCTCACATTCACAAGGCTCCACTGAGACACTGAGCTCAGAGTCACAGGAAGGAAACAAACTTTGTGAAAAGCAGAATGTTGAAGCCCCTCTCTGGAGCTGGGAGGGCAGGAACTGTCATTGCCATGTGTACAGCCAGGAGCACAGGTTTTCTGCAACATCCTCGCTCTGATAGAACCTAAGGGGTATATCTGAGGCCCAGGATATTAGCAAATCAAATATATTCTGAGCAGCATTTCTGCCAATAATGGGATGACAGGATGAGTCACCCTATTATTGAATCTGTGGTTCATACAGGAGAGGCAGGTGGTACTTTCCTCCCTATTTTCCCTCTCCCTGCTTCCCTTTCCCTCAGTTTCTCAGTGTTCCTTGGCCAGGGTGTAGCTTTAGCCCTAAGTGTCCACTTAATTTCCTTTCTACTCCCCATTCCTCCAAGCCTGGCTGCTATCTTCTTGGCTCAAATCTGGCTTGGGGGCCGGTTTCAAGCAGAGAAAAATGCAGTTCAGAGGTGGACAGTGCATCAGGTTGCCCTGGACCCAGGTAGTGACTCACCTGGCACCCTTTAAACTCACCTCTGGGGCTGACTATGCGGCCCCCTGCAGGCTTTTCAGGAGCTCTTTCTGTTGTTCAAAGAAATGGATGAATGAATGGAACACCAAGGCCAAAGGCCAAAAGAGAGACAAGGGGACAAGGGGGCCGTGGACAGGGAGGCGGGGTTGGGGCCGGGGCCACTTCTCTCCTGGCTCTCCCTGCTGGCAGACAGCCTGAACCCGACAGCCCTGCGGGTGGGCATGTGAGGCTGGGTGGGAGCCTCTTTTTCTCTTTGTGTGTGTGTGAGGGGTCCCTTTCAATCCATAACTCCTTGGTTTGGCTTATGGTTTCTATGGCTTTTTTTTTTTTCGTAAGATGCCCTGGCCTCCACCAAACTCCATGCCATGCTCCTATCTGCCACTCCCACTTGAGAGATTCAGAAAATTCCATTCTTTGAAGCAGACGGAAGTTTATATTTGGGAGGAACTTTCCGTCGGTGCCTTGACGGCACTGACACTCATATTCGTCGTGAAATGTAACTTTCTCCTGGGATTTCCCCCCGGAGGACTCCCACGGTCTCCTTCCACTCCAGAGGTCAGGAATTAGACTGGTCAACAATTAATGCAGTCAGAGAAGAACAATGTAAGGGAACCCAGGCCTTAGGGGAGGTGAGAATGGGAGCGGAGCCTACAGGCCCAGCCCATGTGGGATGATGGAGAAGGCTCACCCCACACCACGGCGCACCAAGAACAAAGCAGGCTCAGCCTTCGCTCACCGAACGCACGATGACGAGTTCCCTCGGGTCACACACGGGACTAGGTTTCCAGCATTAACCTGATGGGCACTTCCTTCCACTTCCCTCGAGACCCTGCAGAAACAAAGATCGTTGCTTGCTTTACCTTCTGGCTCTATACCTGGGTCCCCGAGCTGCATGGGGCCTTGGGAGCCATCCCCTCCTGCCACCCCAGGTTTGGGAGAGCCCCTGGATCTCAGCCCCCCAATCCAAGCCCACGACAAGGTCAGTCTCCCCAGTGCAGGCAAAAGTCCATCCACGTCACAGAATGGGTTGGAGGGATTCTGTTTGTGGGCAATGAGGTTTGGGTGGGAGATGCAGGGAAGACGTAAAACAGAGAGAGGGTCCCATAGGAGGCCACAGCACATCTCAGGACAGTACTGTGCCCTGTCCTAGATAGGGCTCCTTGGAGTGCAGCATGGCTCCCTCAGCTGAGGAACCTTTGGGATCTCCGCTCCTCCTCTCCCTAGATTCCGAGATGCTAGAGCTGGGAGATGGGGCAGGGGCCCTCCTGTTCTTTCTGAGCCAGGGACAGGATGGTGCAGGCACCATGCGATGGCCCATGACTTTCCAAGGGCTGCCCTTCTTGCCACACTTCCCACCCAGCCTTGAACCCTGTAGGGCCTGGGGTCAGGATGTGTGAGAAGCTGGGGCGGCGGTGGGGGGGATGTTCCCCTTGCCGTGGCCCCCAGTCACCCCAGTGGGGTTTGATCCTGGGCTGAGTCCTCCCCTGTGACCTTAAGAGTCGTGGGCTGCCCAGTTCTTGGTCTGTGCTTTCCTAACTGGGTTCCATCTCTGCTGGGGCTCACAACTGCCAGTAAGTGGGTTCCCCAAGACCCCCAGCTACCTTTTTTCTAGGTTTCTCTTTAGGGGAAGGAATCTTCCCTTCCAGGGAGACAGGACCCCAAAACCTGGGCAGAGGATGGGACCCCAGACTCTCAGTGGGCAGCTCAATGTTCCCTTTGGAGAAAGCTGTCTCGGAGAAGAGGGCTGCTGGCAGCCTGGGACTTGGGAGGTTGGGAGAAGGAGGCCTACGCCTGCTCTGGGCCCCACCCCCACCCAGCCTGATTGCCGTCTGTGCTCCGTCACATCCCTGGATATGATGACCTCCTGGGCGTATCATCTGGGCCTGGCTTGTATTGGCTGTGGCATGGGGTGAAAGCTGTCATTGTTACTCTATTTCACAGAGTCCTTATCCCCAGTTAAAGAGTCTTCAGGGTCAGATACTTAATGTGATTATTCTGAAACACCAAGTCAATGACTTATCTTATGAAAACCTTTGCTACCCACAGGTTACTGGAAAAACAAGCAAAATCCTTCTCTCACTCTCTGTTAGACCTAAGATGCATTGGTGCTGTTTTCACAGTTCATGGTTCAGGGAAATTTACATTTGATTCCTTTTAGAGAATATAAAGGTAGCTCTTACATAAGAAGGAGTAGGGCTAAAAGAGATGTTGGTATAATTTAAACATTTAAAACTGCAATTTGAAGACTTTAAATACTTTGGATCTATGGCATCTAACTGCTGACTCCCAGGTCAGTGAATGGTGCTGGGCAGAAATTTGGGAAGCGAGATAGCAGAATGTACCAACAGAAGGGTCCACTGGCAAGCTGGCATGTCATACTTCACACATAAATAGACTGTATGAGCCATTTCTCTTCTCTAGTGTCTGCAGTTACAAAAGAAGATGCATCATCCACTCAGGATTTGGTATCAACAATATAATAAACCTCATCTTTTATGTAGACATTTCCTACATAAAATAAACCTCTTTCTACTGAACATAGGTCAGGCAATTCATGGCCACTGGCTTTGTTGTCCTTTTTGTGTAACTCACTGTGTTGAGAGAGAAGCATTGGCAGCCAGCCTGTCCTTGGAATTGAGTTTACTTAGTGTGAGCCACCTGGTCTCCTCTCCTTGGGATGCCAAGAGGAGACTGCAGCCTAGCACTCTGGCCTCTGCCCTTGGGCACCCAGGAGAAGAAGGGGCCTGTTGGTCTGTACAACATGGAGAAAGTGTGCAGAGCTGATCGATGGAGCAGCTGCCTAGGTCTGAATCCCAGTCAGACCCTTGCCAGGTAGGCAGCCTTGAGCAAACATAAGCTCCAATGTTCTCATTTGCAATAATTGTCCCTATGTCATAGGACTACTGTTGGGGTAAAATGAATGAATATGTACAAAGCATTGAAAACAGTGTGAGCACTTAGTAAATGCCTCACGAATGTTGGCTGGCTGCTGTCATTACATGATCACCATGATCATCATTACCACCACCACCACCATCACCATTATCATCAACACCATCCTTACTTTCATCACTGGGATCACCATCATGATTACCACCATCACGGTTACCATCATGATCATCACCGTCATCATTACATCATCATCACCATCACCACCACCACCACCACCACCACCACCACCACCACCACCATCCTTACTATCATCGCTGTGATCACCATCATCATTATTACCGCCATCACCATCACCATCATCACCACCATCATCGTCACCATCACCACCGCCACCGCCACCACCATCACCATTATCATCAACACCATCTTTACTGTCAACACTGTGATCACCATCATCATTACCACCATCACCATCACCATCATTACATTATCACCACCACCACCACCAGCAGCAGCATCCTTACTATCATCACTGTGATCACCATCATCATTACAATCATCACCATCATCACCATCATCATTACCACCATCACCATCATCACCATCATCATTACCACCATCACCATCATCACCATCATCATTACCACCATCACCATCATCACCATCATCGTCATTACCGTCATCACCACCATTCTTACCATCATCACTGTGATCAGCATCATCACCAATACCATCATTACCGTTATCATCACCATCATTACCATCTCCATCATCATTACCGTCTCTGTCATCACCATTATCACCATCACCACCACCATCATCATCATAATCATCATCATTATCACCATCACTATCATCATCATGACTCTTATGGTGGATCCCTTGACTCGGTAGTAGGCACAGAGAGGTTTAAGGAGCTATGACTAACAGAAATGAAAGACAGAGTGGTTGTGCTGGAAATAATAAAGGAAGTATTAGTACTCCTATTGGGTGCTATTACTGTTGCTATTTTATAAATAGTAAAGAAGCTGAGGCAGAGAGAGGCTGTGAAAGCTGCCCAGCATCACACAGAGGAGTCAGTATTTAAACTGGGAAGTCTCGATTAAACTCTTAACCCTGGAGATGTTGAAATCCTGAAAGGAAGATGGCTTTGTAGGGTGACTACAGAGCCCTCGAACACTAGTGAGATGCTTTGAGTAGGTGACTCAAAGTCATTTGAGCACTGAAAGTCTATGATTTTATGAACACTATGAAATCATAAGTCTATGATTTTATTCAGGAAAGTGAAATAGAGTAAGTTGAATCAAATATTTTGAAACAAAGGCTGGGATGCTCCAGGGGAGAGATTGGACTATTAAAAAATAGTAAATGGGATTTAATTTTCAACATTGACATGCTGTCTGTGGCTGGGCCAGGCCCCGCCCGCCTGAGCTGCCCGTAGAGCTGTTCCCAGAGTGCGCAGATGACTGACTGCCTGAATCACATTTCTAATTCTTGTCTAACTGTTTCTCATTTGATTCTTCTCTTATTAGAGTTTTGAGAGATACGACGAGCCAAAGCTCCCTTTAGGGCAGCAAACCCCAGGAAAAAGATAAAGCAATTCTCAGCCTGGATGCAAGATAAATCCTCTGTCCCCCTCATTATAAAATACCTATTATGTCCCTTTATCTCCAAGTGAGCAGCATTATTTCAATTTAGCAGTGTGTGAGAAATGTACCACGATATAATAAAAGGACCAAGGATGCACTATTTAATGTCAGAATGACAGATGCCTCAATTAGGCAGACAGGACTATTTCTCCCCAAAATAGATAAAGATGAAATTTTTATAAGATTGTGCTGTTTGTGTTTATGGTACAGTACTGTTACAAGCTTTCATTACAATATACATTAAAACAAAAACTCTTATTTCGGTGGAAACCGACCATCTTGCTAATAATTTTGCAACTCAGAACTGCCGTTTATCAAAGCCCTCGGTCCTCTCACCTGGGAGGAGAAGTCTTCACAGACCTGAGGCATCATCAGGTAACAAATCTCACTCCGACATTCAGAAATCCTTTTCCAAGAGAGACAGAAAGGCATGTTTCGAAGTTATTGTTTGGTTGAAGCTTGTGGATATATTTTTGACATGTGAACTTTTCTTTTCTCCTTGGTCTTGATCTCAAGTCACCGGACACGGGATACTCAATGGGTGATTGCAAAGGCTGGGTGGGGGCCGGGGCTCTGGTTTAGGTTCTGCCACTTTTCTGTCTCTCACCCTCGGCAGGTGCAATCTCTGCAGCTCCACTCACCACCAGGCCTGCCCCTCTGGAGCCTCTTGGCCATCTGAGTCTGTAGCTCAAATATTTCAATGTTTCTTTAGCATCTTCTAACCCACCATGGAGGATTTTCTCAGTCGATCCTTATCGCTAGGAAAGAGACGTTGTTACCATTCACAGCCATGTATTCAGTTTCTAAAGCTTTATTTCCAGTCACTCCTCTGCTTTCCATTTTAGGGTTTTATATTCTCCAATCGCCATGAGAACACATCATTTTTTTATAAATGGGAAAATGCATCAGCTCTGTAAAAACATTTGGAATTACATAACCAAATGTCTGGTTCCAGGAAAATGATGGGCCAAGGCAGCATGGTGTGTCCCCTCCTAAAAATGCACAGAAATAACAGGTGAACTATAACCCTTCAACAGATACACAGTGTTAAGTATATGAATGCATGCCTGCACACACACACACACACACACACACACACACACACACACACACACATATTCGGAATGGCCCTGGGCTAGAAATTAACAAGGAACAGGAAACGCTTGAGCTGTAGGTGCCTTAAGTGGAGTGGTGAGACTGGAAGGGAGGGCCTGGAAGCTGGGTTTCTGGGTTGTGATGTTCATTAAGGGACTGGTATGAGACCTTGGGCCCTGCTGAGGCAGGTTGACTGAAAAATGGAAATTCCTGTTTCCCCTATGAATCAGAAGATCAAATTTATACTGCCAACATGATTCTTCATGTTAAAAAACTTACAAACGAATCTACCACAGAAATGATATATTCCATGGGACTCTTATGAGCCCTGAATTCTGTAAGTTTTCCTCTAGAATTTGTCTTTGTTTTCATTATGGTGCATCTTCTTCTGTCATGATCAGAGGGGTATCAGTCACTTGGGACCAGTTTCTTAGCTTGGGATTTACTGGCTTCCCCCAAGAGTCCTCCCTTGAACACCAGCATAAACTCAGCTTCCAGTGAGTGCAGAGGCTGTCTCTGATTTCTACCCGGGGTTTCTGCGCCCAGCACAGGGCCTGATACCTGGCACTGTCCCTGGTGTTTTTTGGTGGCTGCTGAGTGAGAATGCGGAGGAATCACCATGGTTCCCTGTGTGTGCCCCTCAGTTTCACTTCTGGGACACTATCCCCCGGTTTGAACAGAAACTTAGGTTGAATGAATTAAAATAACTCGAGGAAGGAAATGTAGTGGAGAACAGCTTTCATCCAGTTAAAAATTTTAAAAACATGAATAGCTGTTTGAAGACATTTTTCCTTCCATGCCTTGAGCCTGCCTCTTTCTCCTCTGCGAGTAGGCTGTGTCCTGACATGGAAGGCGGGGCTGATGCTTTTAAACAAAGGACTTTTAATAAAGCAGATTCATCATTCCGAGGGCTTCTGTTCCAACTGTCAGACCCACCGTCGAGAGAGGGAGAGATGGAGCGGGGCTTCTACAGCGCTGGTTTCTCAGGAGATACAAAGAGATAATTAGAACCATGCTTAAGAAGGTAATAGAGTGAGACACCCAGGCGAGGTGGGGGAGAGAGGAGTGGTGAGAGATGGGTAGATTTAGCCCTCAAAGTCACTGGGCCATGAAGGGGGAACAGAAGCTGCGGGTCTCCGTCTGCCCTTGCCTTGCTGGCTGCACCTCCCTTTGCTGCATCTGCAGCCAGGGAAGACGGGGTGGGCAGGAGCCACTGTGGAATCTCTACCCCCACCCCATTTTTTCCCTAAAAAGTGGTTTATTTGGCCGGGCACAGTGGCTTATGCCTGTAATCCCAGCACTTTGGGAGGCCGAGGTGGGCGGATCGCCTGAGGTCAGGAGTTTGAGACCAGCCTGGCCAACATGGTGAAACTCCGTCTGTACTAAAAATACAAAAATTAGCCAGGTGTGGTGGTGGGTACCTGTAGTCCCAGCTACTTGGGAGGCTGAGGCAGGAGAATCGCTTGAACCCGGGAGGCAGAGGTTGCAGTGAGCAGAGATCATGTCACTGTACTCCAGCCTGGGTGACAGAGCGAAACTCCATCTCAAAAAAAAAAAAAAAAAAGTGGTTTATTGTACTGGGTAGCTTTTCCCTTCTCTCTGCTTGATATTAGGTGCCAGACACAGTGCAATGTTGCAATGTTCCTCATTCCACACAAACTTGTCCCGTGTATAGAAGAAGAAAACACAGATGCCCACAGAGGCCCAGCAACTTGCCCCAGGCCTCACAGCTACCAAATGGCAGGGTGGGACGGGGAGCTGACTCCGGCCCACTGAAAGGACAGTCACTGCTCAGGGCCTTTAAATGAACCTAAAGGTCCCATCTTTTGCTCTTCTTCTTATTTTCTATACCCAAGGAGTTGCTTGGCTGGGCACCAACTCCAAATTAAGGCCGGGGCATTCCAGAGAGAGAGAGAGAAGTGGAAGCCCATCCGTCAGGGGGAGAGTGCACCCTCCTCAGTAGGATCCGCCAGGTGGAGAGTGCACCCTCCTCAGTAGGATCTGCCAGGTGGTGAGTGCGCCCTCCTCAGTAGGATCTGCTGGGTGGAGAGTGCACCCTCCTCAGCAGGAGAGAAGTCTGTGCTCAGTTATGATCTGCTGACAGTGTGGGTGTTTCACAGTAGAACCCGTTCCGAGACCCAGCTGTGCATGGCGGGGACAGCTCTGCCCTCTGCCCTGGAACCGTCCTGTCACCCATGAAAGAATCCCAGCCTTGATGTGGGACAGTTCTGCAGCCTCCATCAAGGTGGCAAATAGAGCCCCAAACCATCTCGCTTTATCTGGGACTGAGGGGGTTCCTGGGATGCAGGACTTTTTGTGTTAAAACTGGGAAAATGGTGCTGGGCCCACCCTTCCCCTGTTTCCCTGTTGCCAGAGCTCATGGTCCTTATGAACCGCAATGGTCAGGTGCTGACAGAGCCTGGGCCAGCTAAGCAGGTCCCGAGTTAAACCTGCTCACGGAATTGACCTCTCCCATATGGACTTCCACCAACCATAGATGTGGTTTGACGTTTTCTCCTTGAACTCCATTAGGCCCCAGTTTTCACATGACCCTGGAGCACAGAGCCGAGGGGGAGGGATGCCACACACACTCAAGGACTCGGTCAGCGACTTGGTCCTGGACGGCAGAGGCTGCGGGACTGTGGGAGGGGTTGGTGTGGAGTCCTTGCCACATCCTCACAGCTGGGGTGCTCCTGAGCCTGGTGCTCGAACACCTGTGGCAGAGGGGTGGAGGGCTCTGAAGGTTACACATGTCACACTCAGTACCATGGGCAAGCCACAGTCCTGAACCGCTGGCCCACTGAGCTGAACCTGCAGCCTGGCAAGCAGCGGCGGTCGCAGGGCTGACTTTCAGAACCTGAAACCTTTGTTAGGGCCCCCGACCCCAGGCACCAGGCGGGCCTCCTGAGCCATCTGAGGCCTCACAGGACTGTCCGGAGGGTCCCAAAGTTCTCTGGGACCTGGGTTCACCACTACCATCCTACCACGCAGACATCATGGAATAGCTTTTTGTTGCAGCAGTTACTGAAACTGCAATCTGCCCTGCAAATATGGTTGTTTAGGCTTGTTTAATTTAGCTATGTTTGCCTACGAATCAGCTCTAACGGTATTCTATTTAATTTCCCTCTCCCAAATAGCATGATGCTTAATGTAAACCAATTACTACAATTTTGCTTTCTAAGAAATCAGGAAATGTAATCAAGGAGATGCAATTTGTTTGCTTTTCATGAAATACTAGGGTGCAGTAGCAACAGGAGTGGCGGGAGGTGGCCTTTGGAGGGATCAGAACATGCGTGTGTGAGCGTGTGTGTGCGAGATGTGAGTGCAGCCGTGTCTGTGCATGCATCTGCACGCATCTCTCCATGTGTGCCTCTCTGTGTCTGTGTGTGAGATGTGTGCATTTATCCTGAAAGCTGCACACAGGCCTGAGCCATGAGAAAGCCCAGTCCGCTTACACAAATCCTGAAGTATTAAGAGCTTCACAAAAGGCTGACGGGACAGACCTTCATTCCCAGACAGGCAGGGCTGACCTGGGCGAGGGAAGATTTGCTTCTGGGCAATTGACTGCCCCTAAAGGTTGATTGGGCATAAGAAGAGGCATTTTATTTTGAATCTCTTTTTCATTGCAAATGATAATTAGGCTCCTGGGGAGAGAGGTGAGTGATCTAACACGGAACAGTGTCCAGGGGGCAGCAGGAGCACGAGAAAAGCCTGGAGAGTGGGGGAGGAGGCTCCCTCCTGGAGGGCCACTGGGTCAGAGCTGCCCGAACACCCTCTGGTCCCAGCGTCAGGGCGGGGCGACGTCAGGCTGAGTGAGACAGGCTCTTTCCAGCAGGTAGTCCCCTCGGCGCCCCCAGACTCCTGGCTTCGACTGCTGGTTCGCTGGTCTCTCTCCAGGATGGGCAGGGATAAGACCTGGGAGGGGTTTGGGGACTGTGTCCTCCTGCTGGAATCCGTGCTCTTAGGCCTGAGGGTTGTGGCTGGTCAGCAGTTCTCACCATCGTCCTCCAGCCTTGGACTCTGACCAGGGAGTGAATTATCTGATTCCTTTCCTTGGAAATCTCCCTTAACCTACATATCAAAGAGGTCTTCTCCTTCCAGGCTGCAAAAATGGGGGCTCAGAGACTGGCCCAGAGGAGGTGGCCAGAGGCGACGGGCCCCCTCCCCTGGGCGCTCTCCGGGGTCTGCACCACACCAGGTGTCTGGTACTCTCCAAGCACGAAGTCTCGTCTATGAAATTCTCTCTTGTCAGTCCCCAGGAAGCTGAGGCAGGTCTTCAACTTTTTTCTCTTTAACTCTTTTTTTTAAAAGTAAAAAATTTTACTTTAAAAAGTAAAATTTATAGAGCATACAATTCACCATTTTATTACAATTTTAAAATGTATTTTTAATGGACAAATAAAAATCGTTCATACAATGTACAACATGATGTTTTGATATGTGTGTATGTTGTGGAATGGCTAAATCAAGCAGCTTAACACGTGTGTTACCAACCGACCACGTTAAAGTGGGCAACTCAGTGGCATTTGGTGCATTCTTGAGGTTGTACAGCCATCAGCTCTCTTTAGTTTCCAACCTTCTCATCGCCTCAGAAGAGACCCCAGATCTATTCACTCTTTAACTCTTTAAGGTCTGGATTCTTTCCTTTAAAAGCTGATGTGAGGCTGGGTACAGTGGCTCATGCCTCTAATCCCAGCACTTTGGGAGGCCAAACTGGGCGGATCATGAGGTCAGGAGATCGAGACCATCCTGGCTAACATGGTGAAACTCC